ACGAGGAGCTCGGGGAACAGTTGAGGGCAGTGTTGAAACGCTTGCAACTGCAGGGCCAGCGGCAACAGAGCCTGAACGTGACCGTTGCTGGAGCAAAGGCGTTTCTGGGAGGGCTGGCACGGACGCACAAAGCTCTTACCTTTCAGCAGCAGGCCAGCACAGACTTAAAAACAGGCTAGAAATAACGTTGTCCTGCTTTAAGACTCCTGAAAAATGACGGTCCCTTCCTCTACAGACCCCCCCACGTGCGAATGCGCAGCGTGGCTGGCTTGGCCACTGCCAAAACATGCCGGTTCTGGGGTGAAAATCAAGTGCTGCCAGCAAGTGCAGATCTCGGTGGGAACAGGGGCTTTGGTGTGGGTGAAATTTGCAGGTGCCAGATATAATTCCCTTAGGACACAGCTAGGAAGCTGGGGCTAGTGCTCCTGCTAGCACTCCTGCTCCGGCGGCTGAAGTCAGTTACGGATCTTACGCAAAGGCAAGCCTCTCGGTTTCATAATTAGCACCAGAAAAGGGGGTTTCTGACAGCGCAGTGACCTTGGCATCATGCAAGAGAAGCGGTTTCCAGCCTTTTCCCCATCTAGAGACCTGTAATATTTTCCAGGGGTCCCCATCGAGGCTCGCAGAGCCCGCCAAAGCTCTGAGGCCAGGCACCCCGCACCCCCCCTGTCCCGCTGCAGACCCACTCGCTGGGGCGGCCGGCCCTTCACTCCCGGGTCCCTCATTTTCCCATTTTCCTCCCAACTGTGAATTCTCCAGGCAGCGGGGACACATCCCACAGGCAGGAGCAGGCGTGGGGCAGAGTCACGCCCACGCTGTGCCTGCGCCGGGACAGGCTCTGCTGCCCAGCGTCTCTTTTCCTGGGCCTGGAAGAAGCTTTTCCACCTCCGTGAGGGAGGCTGATACTTCAGCAAAAAGGTTTTCCCTCGCCCTGACGGAAAGGCAAGCTGCAGCCGGGGTTCCTGCATCCCACCTAACACGAAGACAGATTTGCCGCCACTAAGAACCAAGTTCAGAGCCCCGGCGTGCCCGGGGGCCGGCAAACGACACGGCACAACTGCCAGCCAAGGTCTCTGCCTAAACCCGGAGCTCCAGGCACTGGCTTGGAGAGACGGTACCAAGGGGAGCAGGAGAGTGTTAAGAAAGGATCTTAGCGCCCGCTTGGTAAGGGACTAACTCTGAAGCTAGCCGCGGCCGGCGGTGGGCACGCGAGGCGAGGAGCGCCGGTGCGAGCGGAGTTTGCAACCGCTAAAGCCCCGGTTCCCCCGCGGAGCCCTCCCGTGCCGGCGGCAGGCTCGGGGCTGGCAGCTCCTCACCTCCCTCGCTCGCAGAGGACAAAGGGCGGGAGCAGCATCCGCCCGCGCGGTGGCTGTATCTTACCTAACGGTGCTCTCAGCTGGGAGTGGGAAGGCAGTTAGCTCCCGTGGACCCATCCCTGTGCTGAGAGGCAACCAGGAAAAAAAAAAAAAAAAAACCAACAAAAAACAAAAAAAACCCCAAACAAATAAAAAAAAAAAAAAAAGCAACTAATGAGGCGAGTTTCTACGTGCGGGTGTTTGTCCAGCACGACTTGGATGAAGATCAACTTATTTTACAGAAAGCCAAAACGTCTTCAGATGGGAACAGCTTTTGAATTCAGGGCTTTGTTTAAAGGCAAAATGCTTTATTACCGATTGCCGAAGCCTCGAGCCATGTATTCCTCCATTGAGTTTCAAAATATTTTTCCGCTTGTTGATGCTGCGCTTTGGCATTTAACGAAAGCCAGGTGCCTGCAGAGCGCGGCGCTAACAGGGCAGCGCGGGCCCAGCCCGGCCTGAGCAGCCTGCCTTCCCCTGCTCCTGCACTGCCCGCTGAAAATGAATGCATAAAGAAACGGTTGTATTTACAACAGGCCAGGTAATTGTTCTTCCCTTGTGAAAAGTCACAGTGAAATTAAATGTTTTATTTATTTACATAGTTTCTCCACATTTTCATTAATGAACGAAGCACACGATTTTGCTTTTTAGCAAAAACATCTGTAGTTTGTATGTGTGTGTGTGCATTTTTGATTTACCAGCTTTTCCCCTTGTGCTTGGCACGCTGCGGAGCGAGTTAAGCAAACAAGCCACCCAAAGACACTTTTAATCCTTTTTTTTTTTTTTTTTTTTTTTTTTAATGTATAACAGTTATGCCTGAGTTACAGAGAGACACCTACAGGCAGCAGGTAGTTAAAGCAAATACCAGTTTCTCTTTCTACTATACTACTCCATATAGCTGAATAAATTATGGTGCGATTATATATATACACAGGCACGCACGCACGCAGGCACACAGGCACACACACACATACTCACGCGCAGGCACACACATGGAGCAAAATGGCTATGAGTCAAACACAGAAGCAACATATCCGCAGTTACTAGGAATAAGGAATGTCCTATAGTGCTATGTAGATATTCCCCAGGTGGGTATATGGAGGCGTTAGGGATGACGGGTTAGAAGCATTAAATACACAAAGTCTCTGAGCGACAGGAGCCAATCTGCTGAGTTACTGGACTCAGTGAGGAAATGTCCATTTTGCGGTCTCAGGACGGCGCTGAGAGGTGAAGGCAGGGGCACAGGAGGGGCGTGGGGAGGTAAAAGAAATCCACTCGGCGTTTTTCCTTTCCCCCCCGAGGATGTCAGTTCTCGTCTGCAGGCATGGAAGAAGCGTCGAGCTGAGAGAACGTCTCTGGAGTGTGTCCCTTCGCTTGGTGGTTTGTTTGGGTGAGGTGCAGAGGGATTTTTGGATTCTCAGGCACCCTCGGAGTCACCAGAAGTTGAGTATCTGCTCAGTCCCTGTTTGGCCTGCTTTGAGCGACTGCACGTTCTTCAGGGTCCTGCTGTCCAACGCTTGTCTGCTGCCGGTTGCTACCCTTCCATGCTTGGTTTTGTTTCGCCTTCAAGGCACCCCCCTCTGTTCTGTCCCCCCCTTCCCGTCCCACCCCGTCCCCTGAGTTTGTCTCTTGTCAGCAGAACTGAGGTTGGCAATCCATAAAACAAAACAAAACAAAACAAAACAAAAAATACTTTTTGACTTTCATACATGAAGGTACCTTAAAACAAAACAAAGAAACCAAAAAAAAAAAAAAATCCCCAAATCAAACCCATCCCACCCCAAAGATTCTGGAATGTATTTTGAAAACACACGATAGGCAATTTTCTACAGTTCATCCCCCCTCCCCTTTTTTTTTTTTTTTTTTTTTTTTTTTTTTTTTAACTAGCACGGCACTCACTGTGTTTTTAGTATAAAAAAATGTCAACTTTCTATAAACATACAGCACATGACCAAATTTCCAACTAATGTACAAAGTGCGACCACGAGGGAAAGGTCAGAGAATAGCTATTTGCGCTAGCGTGGGGCGTTTTTCATATTCCTCTAAGAACTCTATTTACAGCAGTGCCCGGGTGTTCACGGACTTTCTGGTGAAGGTAATTGGCAAATAGGTTTCTACAGTGCTCCCTCTTTTGAATCTTTTTTATTTTCGGGGTCCTGCACTCTGCGCTGAGCTCAGCTGGAGTCCTCTTCGACAACACACTTGTGGCAAGGGCCAGCCGTCCACTGTCGAGGGAGGCTTGGGAGATGTGTATGGACGCACCGGAGAGGAGAGAAAGGTGGGGAGAAGAGAGCTGACAGGTCCTTGCGAGCGGGAGCAGCGGATAAGCAATTCTCACGACAAGCTGAAACTTTCCTTCTACTTTAGCAGGCAGCTAGGAATGCATTTGGTCAGAAATATCAGTATAAAGAACAGGGGACTGCAAATGTGTGGGGCAAATACAGGGCCAAGGATCACCATCTTACAAACTCCACCTTCCAGTGGCAAGGAGGGTGTAGATTTGAAGGTGCTCCCAGACTGGGTGATTATCAGTATTTGGCCTCTTAAATACTATTAAATGTGGCACACGAGAAAATGAGGTGCTCTGTTGTCTTAGCAGTCGGCTCAGAAGGATTCTGAGACGCAGGAGCAAATGCAACCAGGTGCTTCAGGCACTAATCCCTCCACTGGTGTCTCTGATGGAGACACCCTTGCTCTCACTCTCCATTCCCCAGTGCAGCTGTGGCTGAAGGTTACTGTTATTGGGAATGATATTTAAGCTGACTGGAATTCAAAAGGGATTTCTTCCTTTGATCAGCTCTAAAGCGTAAACAACATAAACCAGCATCTTTTGTTGCTTTCCGAGATCTCAACTGGCGCAACGTGGGGAGAGTGCTCCAGATGATGCAACTGGTCCAAGGTGTTTTGGCTCTTCAGTTTCCTCAAGGAAACTGGTCCCTTTGGCCCCACCCATTCACCCATCTGTAGGTGCTATATATTGCCCTGAGAAAGGATGTGAAGAATGCAAGCTTCAAGTGCTTCGAAAGCTTTGTGATCCAAGGGAAGTCTTTCACAACTCCAGGGGAGCTTTATGTGTGATACAGCTGGACAAACAGCAACTGGATTGGGAGCTCTGGAGCGGAGATGACAGCAATGGAGCCTCCGGATGCAGATGTCGCCCCGCACAGAGCTCCTGCGCAAAAACACACGTGTGAGAGGCCAAGCTGGTGTGTGAATATGCTTTTAGGGATGTAGAGCAGGCTCTGTCACAGCAAAGCTGAGGAAAGCCAGCTGTGGCCCTGATAGGCTGCTGAGTAAAGTAAGAAGCACAACTCTGCTTCGGTCAGAACAGGTACTTGTCCACACGGCTCAGGAGGAAGTGGCTTGGTGGCTCATGATAAATGATGCTGGGGCAAGTTCCCCAGAAAAATGTTGTTTCAGCTGCAAAAACAAGATCAGATTTTTTGACAAGAATAGAAGAAGCAGCAGCAATGGAAGAGAGCCCAAGCGTCTCCTTTAACAGTCTAGTGGCCCGTGTTAGACCAGAACTCATCTGACCATGTGGTCCCCTGTTATCACCAGTGGACAAAAGCAGACATTCAGGATCCTAAAGCAGACACAGGAAATAGTAACTGTATTATAAACCCTAACAGTCTGTAGATGACTTTACGTACCGTCTGCTGCCACTGGATTTTACACATCAGCTACTGGCTGGCACAGATTCTGTGCACCGGGGTGGTTATCTCAGGGGCAGCTTTCCTTGCCCTCTCCAGGTCAAATTTCAGTGCGTTCTTGAAGTGAGCCCTCTCAACCTCTTGAAGGTGAGGGGGAAAAAAGTCTGTAATATTAGAGATCTGCTTAAGAATCACCAAGGCTCATCACCACATGCAAAAGGGAAACTATAAATCCCATGTGGGTCATGACTTAGCAATGCCTTATTGTTGGCTGCTTTTGTCTGAGCAGTGTGATGAGCAGAACTGCGAGTCAATACAAAAGTGAGAGCACTGGCTGCTACAGAAAAACGGGGTGATAAATCCAGAGAACAAGATCTGGCTTAGAGAGAGAAAGGCTTCACCACCAAAATGAAAAGCAGAGGGAAGGGACTGAGGGATTGAGTTGTACAAAATAGTACATGAAATGAGAGGGGTGGGGAAGAGCCGGGAGGATGGGCAGGGGCAAGCATTTCTCCTGGTAGCTAGAGGATGAAGAATGCCCTTGGTAAGGTAAATTTTTCCTGCAGTACAACTAGATGCAATGTTGCAGTTGAGAGCACCTTTCCTTCCTAGCTGTGGTTAGAAAAGACTCTTCAGGTCATCTCCCCTCTGACTCCACGGCCACATCCATCCCTCAGTGAGAGGCAGCTGTGGGAAAGCACCTTCCGAACACATACTGTTTTCTTTCAGGCGGCCTTTTACTTGTAGAAGAACCGGGCTTTGCATACTGACCCCTCCAAGCAGGCAGCTAACAAACACCTCTGACTCTTCCCTCTCTTGTCTTTGTTCTCATGGCCAGCTTCTCTCCAGCTGAGTGAAAGAAGGGCCACTGACAGTCCTCACCCTTCTCCACTGGATGGGCAGAAGCTCCGACGCCATCGGGGGTATCTGATGCCCTTCCTCTGTGCGTGCAAGGCCAGCGATCGCTATCGCATCTCCTGCTGCTGTCTGATGCCCGTCTTTTCAGTGATAATTAGGTCTAAATTGGTCCCTAAGAGGAAAAGTAAATGTTGCTTGTGCCTGTGCCCATCATCTCCAGTCCTCATGCAGTAATTTACATTTACACTTTCCAGAGGTCCTAGGCTGGAGGGACTTATATCCTGCCCCTGCGTAGCAGCAATCTGGCCCGCTTTGGCCCTGCTTTGGGAAGCCATCAGTGAGAATGGAAGGGTAGAGTGGGGTGGGGAAATTTGCTGTCACTTTAATATATGTTTTTCTGGTTTAGTTTGTCTTTGTGGCTTTTTATTTTTTGTTTTTGTTTGTTTGTTTGTTTGTTTTTTGTTTTTTTTTTTTTTTTAAACAAGTTTTTATATTTGGTCCATAGGTCTTCTGTGGTCCCGAATTGTATCACCCTTCACGATCAGCTTGGTTATTCCTTCCTATACAACATTCACCAAATTTACAGCAATGGAAAGAAAAGGAAACAAAATGAAACATTTCTTTTTTTTTACAAAGAAAAAAAAGATTTGGCTTTGACTATGCCAACTACCTAGATCAATGGAAAGTCCTTAAGTGTGGGCAAAATGCCATGGCCAGGTAGGTTAGAGGGAGGGCATGAACTTGGGGTTAATAAATGTACCCAACCCATTGTCTCTGGCCACAGCAGGAGTCAGGTCACAGAGGCCAGGCTTGCCTCTGAGAAGAGTGCTCTGGAGGAGCTGGGTACTGGAGAGCCCTCCCCCTCTTTCCCGTCTCCTTCACAGCTCAAGTTGGTGCGAGGTGGAAGAATTGGGAAGGAGTAGGGTCCGGGTACAGGCAGATCCCTGGAAGGCTGGTGGTGTTTTCTCCAGTGGTACCAAGTTGCTGGAGTGGGTTGTTGGCACAGTTGGACTCTTCAGTAAGCTTGGCCTGTCTCTACTGGTAGGAGGCCCAGAACGGCTGAATGTTCTCCCAGCTTCATCCTACGCTGTGTAGACAGACTCACGTTCTTGGCCAAATAATCAACAGCGGCTGAAGAGGGGGGGGAGAAAAAAGGAGGGTGAGAAAAGAGCACAACATTAATGTTTAGTGAAAATGAGGCTTTCATCAACAAAGGGTGTGTAATCAACAGACCCCACAGACTGACCCTGACAAAGAGAGGCTCAATGCAGTGGTTGTCGCAGACACAAGGGTCCTGCTGCACTCCTAGCAAAGAGTGCAAACAGATGATATAAGGAAGAAATTTTAGATCTAAGGCAGAAATCCTTCCCTGTGCGGGTGGTGAGGCGCTGGCCCAGGGTGCCCAGAGCAGCTGTGGCTGCCCCCTCCCTGGAAGGGTTCAAGGCCAGGTTGGACGGGGCTGGGAGCCCCCTGGGCTGGGGGAAGGGGGCCCTGCCCGGGGCAGGGGGGTTGATCTTTAAGGTCCCTTCCAACCCACACCATTCTAGGATTCTGTGATGGTCCTGCCAGAAACATGTAGGTTGGTCTCCATGGACCTGTTGAAAAGAGCTACAATTTTACTTCGGCCACATAAAATGGTGTTTCTAGGGGAGCTGCCTGCAGACAAGCCTGAGCAGAAAGGCAGTGGGATAAGCCTTCCAGCCTCCCCTCCCTGTATCATCTCACAGTGGCAAAGCCGACTCCTGCACTCAGTGATGCTGGTGTAAATGATTCCAGACATTTCAGTGGAAGCTCACCAAGTCTGGACAGGGCTTCAATCTGACTCATCCGCTGCGTGCTGACTCATCCCTGCGAGCTCTGCTGCCTGCCTTCATCCACCCTTCCTAAGGGAAACCGCTTTGCTTATCTCCATCTGGGTGAGAAACGCAGCCCCAACTCCTGAGGCGATGCGCGAACCTGCATCCCAGCTCGCCTGACTGCCCCGTGGTCTGAGGGGGAAGAGGACCGGGGCACGATGGTGACATTGCTCATTAGCTGAGCTTCACTCAAAGTCTTTCCCTTTCACTAGCTTTAATGTCTCAAATTAGATTAATAAGGAGCTGGCAGGAGATGTACAATCGGTGCCAATGAGTAAACAAATTTCAGCCATCAACGTCTTGTCAGACGCCTGCCCCAGAGGAGGTCCCTTCCAGACACAAATTCTTATTAGACTTGTCATATCTATTAGAATTCCTTTCACGCTTCTGCATTCCATCACCGGCATCATTAACACAGCTCCGGCCTTTGGGAACCGCAAGGACCACATCAATCTGGCATCTCTGCTCCCCACCGGCTGGGACAGCGCAGGCTGGAAGCGAGCAGGCTCAGCCCAGGGTGAGGTACCCGGGCCCCAAGTGAGGGTCTGCTGGGGAGCGCGGCTTCTGCAGGCGGCACTGGCTGGAAGGAGCCGAGTTAGGCAAGAGGAGCCGGCACGCTGGCTGGTGCTCATCCGGGACCGGGCTCCTGGGGTAGCTCGGCTCTGTAACGCTGCGTTATGGTGCCTCTAGCTTCGAGGTGGGGAGTGCGTAGGATTAGACCCCAAGCTATGGCTCTCGTCCAGACCTTATCAGCTTGGTCGCCTGGTATTTCAGGTAACCACATTAAATAATGTCTCTGAGAAGCTGTAGGTGAAGAGGAAATTCACTCCTCGGACACACTGCGCGTCTGTGTGTGGTTGTGCCTCTGTGTCTGTTGTCACCCATGCTCTGGGTGAATTCAGAGGGGTGCTTGGGAAAGGAAGGAGGAGGTGAAAAGTCGGAGATGGTCATCCAGCTCTGGGCAGAACCCAGCATAATGAAAATTTGATGGCAATCCCAGCCTTCTAAAAAAGACATGCAAAACTCCCATTATTGTTTTTTGTGCCGGTGGGAAGAGTTCAAAGGCACCAGGGTATCCCATGTCATAAGGCAAAGATACAGCTTGTTGGTTTAATACAGCAGAAGCCAAAATAAAACCAGAAACTTACTGAAAGTACTCTGGGTGTTTGTTTGCTTATGTGAGAGGGAAAGTGTGTCTGGTTTTGTGGTTCTAAAACAGAGAATAAAAAGGAGAGAGGTGGGGAGAGAGAGAGATTCCCCACAGGCCAGGTCCAAAGCCTCTCAAAGCTACAGAGCTCTTATTTTCAAGCCCTGGTTATGTCCTCTGTTATACAGAGCCTGCCCTCACCATAACAAACCCTCATTTTTATTATATCAATGCTCACTAAAAAGAGTTTTGATACTTTTTTGCCACATCATAGAAGAAAGAAGCATATGATTTAAACTGAACATCAATAAATAATGATCTTTTGGACCTCACACCCACCAACATTTAAAGAGCATTTGAAAAGCAGCGAGGAATTTAAAAAGCAGGAGGAATTAGAAGTATCTGCTAAATACAACATGCACTGAGAAAGACAAGAAAAAATGTTGTTATATCAAGGTCAACTTCATGTAAGTGATTGCTCTAACAGGACTAATTACCAATGAAAACTGTTTCCTCGCAGAGAGATTATTATAAATGGGGCTCATTAAAGAAAGATTTCTAGCGAAGTGGGCTTATACATTGCCTGTACAGAGCTGTAAACATGAGTATGTATACCCATACGTGCACCCATGCAGAATTTGCTTCCTAATGTAGATGCCACCCTAGAACAGCTACAGTTGGTTTGCGCTGCATCAGCCATGCAGCATGGCATTGCCTTTGGCCGCAAGACTTGCTGCCGCGCCGGGTGTGACTCCAGCTCCCGGCCCTGGGAAGCAGTGGCTCTGTGGATGGTGCGTGATGGTTTCTCACCTACCGTCCTTGCCCCGGCAGGAAGAACGCTTTCAGGACTAGCTACCTGCGTGTCTCTGGGCATGGGACACGTCTGCACTAACTCTGTCGACCACGCAAGACGTGCTGCTGGGCACAGGACCATTGCCAGCCTGGACTCTCATGACTACTAACAGGAAAACATTCCTGCGCCGAACCTAGCCCAGTGGGGCTAAACTCTAAACTGGACTTGTAAACTGAATGGGTGTGCAGCAGAAAAGAGGGGACTGTGCGACAGAAATCAGGAAAGGGGGGGGCAAATAAAACAACATAAATAGGGCTGCGTGAGCAGCTTTTCATCAGCACAAGGAGAGGCCCGAGTAAAAATTCCTGCAGCAAACCGAGACAAACCCTTCTTTCTCTTTCCTTCTCTTTTGCTGGTCTCTCTCTCTCAGAAAACGTAGCTCGTCCTCCTTATTTTATTTTTTACACACATGGGTGTGACTAACGTCTTGCCCAAGGGAATCTTTATTGGAAATACATGGTATTGGAATTTGTTTAAGATTTTTATCAATAGCACGTGTGTCCAGCCTCACATCCAGAAGCGAGGGGAAGGTCAAGGGGTCACAGATCAAACTCCCGAAAAACAAAAAAAGGAGGGGTGGGGGGAAGCTGCTATTGATCCCGTCTGCCGCCACAGCCGGTTCTCATTTAGCTGTAGAAGTTAAAGACATTAAAGGGCTGTGACGGAGAGGGGAATAAAAAGCCACAGCCAAATGGAAGGAAAGGTCACTGAGGACAAGCTACGGGCAAGCCGGAGCGCTCCCGGAGGAAGAGGATGCACCTTTAACCCTCCGCGGATCACTCTCTCACAACACCACACTTATTATTAGTTTAACACCGACAGGTGAGCCCTTTGCCGGGCTTGCTGGTGTTTTTGTGACCCAACCATTCTGGAGGAGAAACAGACCCTCCCAGGGTCCCTTCTGCCTCTCGGGTCTGTGGTTTAGGTTCAGGATTACAATTCCAGTCTCACTTCAGCTTTTGCAGAACCACAGCCCAGCTGACAGGCATCGGCTTAACATATTTCAGAGCAAAACCTCTGAGCATGAACCCAGTCCGGGCAGGGGAGGAAGCGACACATATAGTTCTACATCACTAAGGAATGGCATTAAAATCCCATCTTTCCTTCGGCTGAGCAGGGTGAACATGTTGTAAGGCTTTTGGAGAAGCAAAAATTGGTGAGGGGGAAGAAGAGAGGTCTGGAAGTTGTCCTTTCCCAATAGAAACATTTTACCTTAAATATTGGGACTTTTGAAATGGACTGCATGGGTGTTGGGGAGGCTGAGTGGAGCAACCTCCATCTGTGTCTGGCAAATAGATTCCCTTTTTCTCTCTAGATGGACAGATTTCCACGGGAATGCCTTCCAATACAATATCCATACCTTCTTACATTCCCTCCCTCTCTTCTGATCCCTCTGCAGGGGAATACAACTAAGGCACTTACTTTGTCCGTACTGTCCATACTGGTAGCCAGCCACTGGGTCCACACTGTAACTGGTGGTGCTGTAGGTGGGAGGACAGTAGGACTGGGAAGTCGGGAGGCTGTCCACGGATTTGATGGAGTCGCTTCGCTGGCTGCAGCTGGCAGAGATGGAGTTGGTGGTGTCCAAGCCACCGTGAAGGGGAGAGATGGAGAAGTCAGCCTGGGGTTGCGGAGGAACCCCGCTGGGGTTGCTCAGGATGCTCATCACCTGGAAAAACACAGGAGACAACACGTCAGTGTCTGGAGGGGAAAGGGTACATGTGCAGCTGCCTTCATGCATACCAGGGAGAAACAGTCTACATATGATGGTGCACTACCAGTATAATACACAATATCAATAGAGGTTTGGCCAGGCTGGAGGATGAAGGCCTGCTTCCACCAAGTAACAGACAGACCCCACAGTTGGCTCCTCTGTGTCTAACACTTTATTTGAAAGACCTTAATAGAGGTAATTGAGAAGCTCCTTCATAGCACACTCAATCTTTGGTCTTTCTTTGCTGACCTGCCAACAGTGTTAGCTGTGCTCTTCAGAATGAACGCTGGAGGAAGGAATAAACTTGGGACAAACCTGCTCGACAGGCACTGCCGTGAACTAGCACCCCCTCCCTTCCTATGCACAGCCCACACAGAAGAGGAGACACATAAGATGGGGAGCAAAAATCCCTGTTTTCAAAAAGGGACACTGAAGACAGCCCCTTTCTCTGGAAGTCTGAGTGGGGCTTGGTTCGCAAAGGTCCCTAACCAAACCAGATGCAAACCCTTTCTGGCTTTGATGCAGATTCAGCTTTAGGGACTGAAATGTCAAAGTTCTCTTTACCCTCAAATGTTAAAGGATAACAGGTCCTGGTTCGGCTCATTTCAGTGTAGCGCTTGGTTTGAAAATGTAATTAAATTTGCACACAAGCGATCTTCCTGCTTTGAGACCTGAAACAGATGAACTTTTTTTTTCCTCCTTTTGCAGCAAAAATGCCAGATTTGTTCCTGCGGGTGAGTTCGGGGTAAGCCGCTGCCTACAGGCCTTCACACAAGGACCCTGATCCCGCTAGCGCTTTAATGCAATTGCCTTCTGCAATCAGCAAAATTACCCCCGGGCTGCCAAGTTAAGAGTGTAAAGAGTTTGCAGAAGCGGGGCCGTGGCGAGGGAAGGAAGGGAACTCCTGATGCCTCTCGGTTGATCTCCGCAGCCGCCGCAGGCGTGCCTTGCCGTATTTGTGCTGGGGAAGGGCGGGGGGAGAGGGGACAGCCAGTCACCTCGGGGGGCCAGGCCAGTGCTCAGATGCCGAGCAGCTGAAAATCTCCGAATTTAGCATAACCTTATTGACATCAATTAAAGTGGCAAATTGGAAATATTTGGAGCCTGGCAAGTGGTAAAATGAGCCCTTTATCCCCCACCAGAGGCCTGGTGAGCTATTGTGCAGAGGATACATTCTCTGGAAGGACACAAGAGGGGTTGTATAGAGCGGCGTCTCCCCTTCCTGCTCACCCCAACACCTTCCCCAGCCCCTCCTCCCTCACCTTCCTGCCGGAGCTGGGGCTTAGGCTGAATGAGCGGCTACGCGCTAGCCTTTGCTTTCTAAAGCTTCTCCTCCCCCCGGAAGGGCTTGGGAATCCTGCAAAGATGCTTTCCCTTGATGTGATGCCACCTCCTGACTTAGCTGGCCTGAGATCCTTCCTAAGCATTTGTCTGGGAGGGGAATTCGGGAGCAGGGGTGGCTGGACCCCCATGGAGGAGGAGGTGGTGGGGAGGTACTGGGGAGAGGGTTAGTTAAAAGCCTGGAAAATCAATCTAACTCTGACCACTGGGTTTGTCTGCAGTGTGCTAAAGAGACACAGAAATGAGCTTTGAACAAGCTAAGTAAAAGCAGCGCAGTGGCAGCAGCATAGAGCTCAGACAGAGTTCATTTACCATCTCCTGCTTCAGGGTTTTCAGCTTGCACTGAGCTTACAGTTTGCTACTGCTCCCCAAAAGTTAAAACTGGCTTAGCTGTCTCTACACTCTGGGGCAGACGGCACTTCAGACAGAGCCTAAATTACCTCCAGCTCTCCAGACCCTCTGGGCACAGCTTCTTAATCACAGTGATTAAGCCTCAAGGTATCTAGATGAAGTTATTTAGCCATAATGCTGTGCAAAATGTGCCTGTGGAACTCCCTGCCCCATGACAGCCCCAAGACTGAAGGATAGGGGCATGATGAAAGGAAATTGCATTTAAATATGCAAGACAGAGTGGATTAATATGAGAATAGGGCTGTCATGCTTCTCTGTGTGGATGTAACGTAAACCTCTCTGCCTCAAGGTTTATGCAGCGGGGAAATCATGGGAGTGCAGCCTCAAGGTAGGTTTTCCAGCTGCAAAGTTATTTGTAACCTTCTGCTAAAGCTGGGTCATGAACTTTGATCTGGCTCAGCCACGAGTGCCCTTGAATGCCCCTCAATCCCACCGGCTGCTGGCAGACCTCAAAGCTTCAGCATCACCGTGGCTGTAGGTATTACACCCTGCACCTCCTTGCCCTGTCCGATATCCAGGTCACTCGCATATACAGCAGCCACAAGACATTATTGGATTTCATTCGCAAGCAGAATCAGATGTTTAAAACAATAAACATCCTTCTTGCATGTGTGAAAACACAGGCGTATGAATTATGAGTTATTTTTGGAAAGCTCCAGCTCAGGCAGCATGAAGCCGAGCTGTTTTGCCTCTCCCTGCCTGCTGTCCGGGTCTGGCAGTGCTGCCTGGCTGCGGATGTGCTGCCCGCACTGCTGAGCCCTGCAGGTGCAGAAAAGAAATCACACACTGTAAAATAAAGGGCAACTGGAACCACTCACAGACCAGAGAGTTTCCTAGTGCTCTCCCTCCTTGCCATCTCCCCAAAAGAGTCAGCTGCTTTATATTACTCAGAGAAAATAAAAGGCTCTTAAAGCAAGCAGAAGTCATATTAACACTTCCGCTAAGGCCCTTTTAAAAAGAAAGGGGGATGTAAAGCAACGTTGGTAAATGAAACCCAGATTCACACTCTTCAAATTCAGAGGAGCTGAGACTGGAGAATACACTTGCACAAATCCTACTAAAGACAGTAATTGGCTTTAATCAGTCAGAATGAGGACTGATTTCTAATCCCAGCTCTGCTACTGACTCACAAGGGCTTGTGCAAGTCCCTTAAGCTAGGACTCAACTCAACTAACCTTAGCCATGTGAAGTTAAGTTTCTAGTCACTGCTAAGCCTCTAGAATCCCTCTACAGAGAGACTGACACTTCTGAAGGACAATTCATCCCATTCGAAGACCCCCTTCTGAAAAAGACAGGCTGAATTTCCCTCTGGAAATCCGTGGTGAAACGTAAGGATGCCAAAATTTCATCACGACGATGCCAGGGTGGTGAACGGATATGGAACTGTATGGAGGTTGGAGACGGGAGATACTGGAAGGTGGCTCCCAGGGATGTAAGGTGGCTGAGTGGTGATAGAGGCTGCGGGGCTCAACTGAGCCGGGAGCCCCAGAAGGTCTCCATTCCCTCTTCAGCAACGCTGACCATGGGAAGCATCTGCCTTTTCCAGGCACGCTGAGAGCAATTTGGGGCTAAGCTCCCCTGAGACTCTGTTTGCAGAGGTTTATCAGAGGACAGCATCCAATCCTCCCCACCCCAGGCCACGAAGGTGTTAGAAATAACAAGAGTGAACCGGAGATTTCTATTCCCTCTTCGCTATGCAGCCACCCAGCATGGATAACCCTACACGAGCCCTCCAACCTCAGCAGGCCTGCGTTATCTGACTTCTTGTTTCAGCTGGATAAACTCATTTTCCAGGCAACTTTTGAACTTAGGAAAGTCTGGGGCATCTGGAGAAATCCCCTCCTCAAGAATGCAAAGTCCTTTTACCTTTTCTTTTTGACCTTGCTTTCTTATAATTTATTACTTCTTGGTACATTATCATCACTAACTAAAAATCAATACCCACTTCACATCTGTAAGGTTTTATCTGGAGGGAAATCTGCTACCTGTCCATCACACTGATTGACAGCCTTCCCTTTCCCCTCCCTCTCATCGGTTGTCTCTCTCCCTTTCCCCATAGCCTTTCCCTTTGCTGCTGTCCCAAATCAGTCACAGGCGTGGCGTGGGCTTGCACTTCAGGGTAAGTCAATAACAGCCATGGTGCGAGGAGCCTTCGGCCTTGTTTCTACCCTTTCCGGAGGTCATTTGTCATGGGGGAGAGGGGGCAGGGGTCTTGATGTGTTGGGGAGACCAAGGTTAATGCACAAAGACCCTCCTGGATGAAATAGCCAGCTCCCCCCCCTCGCCTCCTGCTGCTGCCTCTCTCCCCACCCTCATCTCTGCAGCTCCCCCCTGTTCCCCCCCGGGACGTTTCATCACTCTCTCCCATACTTTAAAAGAAGGGGAGTTAAAAAAATGTAATTAATTCCCTCCATTTCTGAGCTGGCCCTCAGGGCCTCTGGCCGTGGAAACTGTAGCAGGGGAAATGTGCACCCTTTATGATAAACGAATGCGGCTTTGGAAAGGGAAGTGCAATTAGGGCCTTCAATCTGTGCAATCAGGCCTTCAGATTTTGGGGTTGGGGCTTGGGGGGGGCGGTTGGGTGTGTTGGGGGGGCAGGAGGGGCTCAAGGGGCCGACCGGTGTTAGGGAGAGATACGGCTTAGCTAGAGAAGGGTGTGAGCGCATCAGGGAGGGGACAGGGAGGGTAGCAGCTAAGTTTCATGACAAAACCTTGCCCCAGCAGACCTGGCTGCTGCACCTCGCTGGTCTCTGCGGTCAGGAGCTCTGCGGGAAATACCAGGGCAGCCCGGGGCCACGCCAGACAGGCTGTACATCCTCAGAGCCCCTACACCTCCCACCCTGTGGTATCTGTTTGCTTTAGGCTTGCTAAGATACCCGGATCATCAGGCCCTGGCCACAGCAGGATTTATACCTACTCTCAGTGATGGCACATAGCCCCACGAGCAGGGAGACACAGAGGTGCTGTAAGGAGATCAAACTCAAGCAAACAAAATGATAAGGAGGCAGGAGTCTGCAGACAGCATTTTCCAGAGTGACCCCTGATTCTGTGGTGTCTCCATTTCTGGACACCCGATTTGACACAGCGCAAAGCGTCCAAAATCAGAGGCTGCCTTATAAAAACGCTGCATTTAGAAACTGCTGAGCCTGGCTAAGTTCTGAATAAAGGGAAGACGTAATGATCTGCAACTAGCTGAAGGGTGTTAACTCCAGAGAAGCTGCTGGGTGGTCCCAAAGGAATGCAAACTGGATACCAGGCAGAAACTCGAAAAGAGAAAACCAGAGGAAGGGTCTCCTGGCAGTGGGTAGTGTTTCTGAGGCTGTGGTACTGCTTTCCCAGGAATGGGTAGAAATCCTCTCCCTTTGGGAAAGGCTGGAGATGTGATCAGCTGAATATTTTATATTATATCAAGCAAAAAGCACTAGGAAATTGTTGTTGTAGGCTGAACTCTCTCTTTGTTTCAGCTCCTGTGGCACTCATATTTACACCACTTCCTAGGGAATGGAAAGTCTGACAGGAGCCTGATGGCCATGCTGGGAAACACGCTGGATCTTATGGATTTATTAACGACATGGGCCAAGCTGAGAATTTGCTCCAAGTTCCTCCATGAGGGCTTGGTCTCTCTGCCATTTGTGGCTGACTCAGCTTCTGCTCTGGGTAGGTCATGCTCTGTCCTTCAAGACTGTTCTTAGCTACTTGGTGGGGACCCAGCTTAATCTTTTCCATCTTTATTTTGCAGCCTGTTCAGCTAATCTTTTTCTTCTCTCTTGCAGAAGGCAACCCTCCCTCATATTAATGCTTTTTGATCTCTGTGGATTCATTTTCACTTGGTGGGAAGAGGAAGAGTCGATTATTCTATACATACATTAAATGGAAACAAAATGAAGAGGTGACTGTAGGACTACTGAAAGCCGAAGAAAGAGTTGGGAGGAGATAAATACAGTTTCCCCAAAGATCTTCACTTGAAAGGAGGATAAATATATGCAAATATGCCCCTAGGTAGGACTAAAATGACTTATGTAGCAATCACTAACACTGCACTCACAAAACCAAGCAATTAATTTTGAATATTTTCTAAATCACTAGACCCAGCTGAGTTGTATCCCAATATGCCAAACCAATCCAGTAAGTACATCCATTAAATTTGATTTTTCAATCAGGCCAAGGATCCAGACAGTGCTTCACACTTCTTGCACCTAGAAAATGTCTGATCCAGGTAATTGCAGTCCCTTCCATCTAATGTCACTTCCAACTAAATTTTGGAGCCCCTTTCACATTAGCCTTCCTTAAGGGTAACTTCACTGCCTTCAAGTACAGTCCTGATTCACACTGTCATAAATGAGCTGGTGACTTAACTCCCTATTTCTGTTTTGTTGTGGGTTAAAGTTTAAGAAACCTGATGCTCCACTGCCTCAGCTAGCCAGGTATTTATAATCCACCCATCAGCACATTACTAGTGCTAAAGGGAACAGTGTTATGAGCATGAGCTAACACAATCTCACAAGTCCTTCCTGCTACAGAAGGACTCCAGGGCTGACGTGGCTGCTGCTGTATAGAGCAAGGTCTCATTTTCCTGACCTTCCCCAATCCATTGGAAATTATGTGGAAGCCGGTGAAATGCCTTTCTGACACACGACGTGTCAGAAGCAAAGTCAGGAACAGAACGCAATGTGCCTGAATCCTTTCTGGTGTGTATGGGACAGATCATACCAAAACCCTTCAAAGTGGCCAGAAACGGTTACCGTGGGCCTGTGCTTGAATGGTGGTACAGTTTGGCAGTGAACAATAAACCCAGAAATATCATCAATGCCTTTCAGTGACTTAAAACATCTGAAGGATATTTCAGCGCCATAGGGGAGTGGTCTAGGACACAGCGGGTGAAATGGAGATGAGCATTCGTGTCCTAAAATGACCCTGTTCACTTAACGGATGAACAACTGCCACACACTCATGATGGAGAGGGCTTGGGTAAGTGCTGGGGGGGATGAGATGGTGCTGGGGATGCAATGGTGAGCTGCAGCAAAGCAGACCAGTGCAGGCTGCACAAGGGAAGGATTAGAAAAAAAAGGCGATGGGAAGTTATTACCTGATTGTTCAAGGCTATGGTGAGGTTCCACCGGGAGCACTGCATCTTGTTTTGGGCACCCTGCTTCTGTAGAGATGTACAAATTATGGAGAAGGTCTAAAGAAAAGTTTCTAAGCTATACAAAAGAATGGGAAGGTCTTAGCTATGAGGGTAAGAGGAATTGCTTAAGTCTGGATGGTCTGGGAAAGAGGAGTGGGCTCTTCTTGCAGCAGAAATACCATAAGGAAATCAGAAAAGCACCACAGGGTTATACATCCAATAAGGGCTATGAGAAATCCTACAGTAGAAGTGTAATTTGGAGGGGAAGGGCAGAGGCATCACTGGGAATGGGAATTACATTAAAAACTGCTTGATCTAGAAACACAAGTTACTATCCCTGGCATTGGGATACCAAACTCTACTACTAGGTAAAAGCAGATGGCAAAGTTTTCAGTAGTCTGGATAACCAGAGAGGAAACAAAAAGACATGCTGGGCTAGTGTGACCTGTTTAAGGTAACGAGGGGTCCCAGTTCTATGGGCATCACCTTCACTAACAAGCAAAATTAAGAGACATGGGCTCACCCCTTTCAGAAACGGAAGAGGCTCAAGCCAAAAGGCTAACTAGCACCTTGCCATCTTGAAACTGTCAAAGGGGTTTGATTTTCATGTGCTGCTGAGTATCTCCCCTCTGAAAATGGGCAGTTTGTGCTTTACTCATCATTGATGTCATCATTCATCGTGTGTTACCTAAGCGTGAAGTGTTTTTCCTGATTAAACTGTAATTGCTAAGGTATTTTATATAGAATAACCAGAAGAAGGCCAATGGTTCCCAAATGTGCTGGTCAGCAAACTGAGCCACCCCATCCTCCTTATTTCTACTAATAAGTCACCACAAGCAAACTCCACTCTGATGCTGTTTTCTCTGTGAAAATGTTTCTTTGTGAAGACCAAGTGAATACATTGGAAAGGAAAGTCTCCATGGGAGAAGCCCTTTGTTGAGATACGAAGCATCTCTGGGCAACTTCACACAGGGTATTAATTGCAGAAATCTGAATCTTGCTTGTGGCAGTTTGGGACTCACAAAGTCACCTGGGATGAGAAAGCAGAAAGGCACAACCATGGAAAACTGGAATTCCTAAACATTTCCAAACCGGCAGATTAGGCTTGGCTTTGGAAATGGGCTGGGCTTATATTTTTTCTTCAGCACCTATTTGTCCGTCCTTGGGTAAGATCGGACATGCTGATGGCAGGCAGGGAATGAAAAGCTTTTGGGGCTTGGTGAGAGATTAAAAACTCCAAGAAATAAACATACACCAAGGTCTCCTGCTAAATCAGACCTAAACCTATTGCTGTGCATCTGCCTGATGTGAATAATGGCAGAGTGGGGAGGTGACACAGCATAGCTAAGTCCCAGCAAATTAAAACTGTTTTATAAACTTCTGTTATTCCTCCCTTCAGCAGCCCCACGCTGGCAGAGACTAACAAAGACAAACCAAAATTCACAGAAGGGTCTCCTCTTCCCCTCCTCCCTTTCCATTTCTCTCCCTCATTTTATTTTTTTTTTTTTTTTTCCCCATTTCTCAGCTAAGCTGATGTGTGCTCACTCACTATCACACCCCCCGCGGACACTGGTAATGGAGTGGGGGTGCTGACTTACTGCTTCGAAACAAGATTTCCTGAGATCCTTTGAGTCTGCTCCATGCCCCCCCTCGCCTGCTTTTCTCTCTCTGTCTCTCTCTTTTTGGAGAGTGGAGGGGAGCCTCTATAAATGTGAAAGGAGCTGCACTACAAAGAATCCCCCGAGTGGCATATCCCAGCCCCAGGCGAAGCTGCTTGGTGCACTGATAGTCCTGCGTATCTGCTCTAGGACTCCTCTTTCTCTTCCCCTCCCTCCTTCTCTGATCAATCAAGGGCTGTAATCAGTTAAGGTCCAGCTTAACTGCAGTGTAAGATACACCAGTTAAGCAAAGCCAATGCCTCCAGGGTCCCTATCGTAAATACAGAGAGGTCATGGGGAGATTAAATAACCCTGATAAGTTCAGCAAGTGCAGGGCTAGCTAGGCTCACACCAAACACTTAATAACTCGAGCTGGCAAAAGAATGGAAGAAAGGGAAAATCAGAAGCGCTTCCTATTGCCAGCCCCTCTGCTGCTTGTTTGCTTGCTCTCTCAGTTCCCTGCATTCCTGGGGCGGGCTTAGTGGATTTTTTAAGATGAGGGTTTCTCTCTTTAGCTCACCCTAATGAATGAACAACCCAGACCCTGGTCCTGTCTGCGAGTGCCTCAGCTCAGTTTGGACCTCCTGAGGCTTCTACAGAGATGAATTTTTTTAAAGTCAGGACCTCTTGTTCCCTCACCCGTAGGAAAATCACAGCTCCTGAATCCAAGGAAATGCCTTTTGCAGCCCTACGTAGTGCCATGCTCTCTTCCTTCGGACTTTTCTCTGCTGCTAGGGAGCACTGCAGTATTTTCAAAGACAGGGAGCTGCCCCCAAAACCCTCACAGGATCTGAACTCGGGGATAATGGAGCTGCATCCAGCAAAGTGTGGTGTTGACTGGTGTGGAGACATCAGTGTGAACAAATAGGAGAAAGAGAAGAGAAGAAAGTGGGGATCCTTGCTGAAAACACTGGCTTTAATAGAGGATTACCCTTACAGTTAAAACGTTCTACCTCAGCAACCTCTTTCCCCCTTTTTGCTTCATAGCAAGGCTTTTCCTTTCTCTCCAGAAATGTCTATTCTCAGCAACGGTCCATGGGAAAACAAGCCCTTTGTATTCATTGTAATCACCTCTAGACCAAGTTCATGCTGTGCTGGATCCAAACAGCTTATAGTTTCATAATACACTTCTTGAAGAGGAGGCTGGGGACACGTGCACTGTCGAGGGGACTTTCCTGTGCAGGACAAGCTAATGTCTGCTTCCATTTCTGAAACCCCAGAGCTCATTTCTGCTCCTCAGATGTAAGAAATTTGGCAGGATTTGGTCACCATCAAATCCATCCCCAAGTTCTACCCACTTTTAATCCCGAACTCATGACTCTAGCTGAACACAACATGAGGTTTGGATCTAAATACCACTGCGTCGGCTCCCATCTAATTGGACATTGGCCCACTAGGCATTACAGATAGGGGAAAAAAAAACATGTAGGATTTATTAAAAACGATGCAGACACACAAAGAGCAGAACAAAATCTTTAACCAGAAGCGATAAGAAAGCCCTAAAGGATTTGAGTTTAGATAAGTATCCCTCTCTGAGTCCTCCAGCTCTTTAAAAGCTATTTGGACTGGAGTTTTCCTGTGGTGTTATAGGTGCTTACTTAAGCAGGGGATGAGATTAATTCTTCCCTGGCTATTTTGGCACTCCTGCACCTGGGGTCTGCTGAGGAGCAGCACAAACCTCGATAAATTTGTAATGATTATTTGAGTAGCCATCACAAACAGGTGAAGGGTTTGAACAGTAAAGTATAAAAGTAGAAGCTCCTGGGATAACACACCATTAGCTGCACTTCCTTCTTATTGGTCTAGCACAATTTGATTTTGGCTATGTGTGAAGGTACTCCAAAATAACATATTTTTTAGAATTATAATACAAAGCTATCAAGAAGTGATCTCGAGCATCAGAGCAGAGAAATGCCTATTTTCAAAACCTTGCTTTTCTTATGGACATCATTTACTGCCTTGAATTAAGTGATTTTCAAGGAAAAAAAAAAAAAAGATACACTGATGAATGGTAGCTGTCTGCTGGCAAAGCTATGTCTGTGCCAAAGGGAAGAGTCTTACCTCATTAAAATTAAACCTCTTCCAAACGAAAACAATACTTTTACTAAGTGGGTATGTAAACCAGCATATAGCTTGCTCTCCTGTACAAATGCAAGCAAAGAACTTTATACATTAACCCCACAACTCCTGCCTGAGCTACAAGCTCTCTTTTATAAAAATATCTTGATCAAAAGCCTCCAAAAAATGGAAAATCCTCTAACTTGCTGAGAAGAGCTGTGCCCCTTGCCTGTCCTCCTCGCTGCAAGGCCAAGGGCAAGAGTGAAGGTATCACACCCTTGCATTACTCAAGCAGAGATTTTAAGGCATCTCCTGCATGCAGAAGTTTAAAAGCATACAAACCACTGCTGATCCAGAGATAAATGGTGGAAAAGGGATTAGAGATACTTAGTGGAGGAGAGGGAAGACTCAGGAAGGGCTGATTATTTTAAAGATATGACTATTTAAAGATAATGATTGCATAAATTTAATTAATGCATTTTCATGCTGCAAATGGCCGTTTTGTAATTAATGTATCTGGCCTCGCTAAGCATGGGAGATCACATCTCCCAGCCCCCCCTCCCTTCTCAATTCCCCCCTCCGCCTCTGGTTTAATGAAAGACAGAAAGCAGATGACAGAAACAATTTGTCAGCCAGTACGGGTGTCAGATGCCTAATTGGTTGCGCTGAGTTAGTAGAAAGTAAAGGGGGAGAGGATCGAGGCTGGGGGGGCTCTTTCCTCTTTATCCGAGGCTTCAGGGTGGGTGTCTGTATCGGTGGGGAGGGAGCGAGGGGGCGAAAGTGTTTCTTGTTAATTGATGGAGATTAGGACACAGATTGGCTGTGGCAGGGACTGGGCAGTGACAAGAAGGGGACAGGAGAGGCTGGTTAACACCCGTGCAAACAAGCTGCCATATCTCACAATACGTTAAGTCCTGGCAGCACTGACAACATCAACGGTTATCTCCTGTGCTCCCCGCTCCCGCTGCACCCCGGTACCCCCGGTCACGACTGCTGGGGGAAGAGCTTAGCACACAGATCAGCAGCCCCGAGCACAGCTCTCCTCCGGTTGGTTTGCACCCTCTGGCTTAGAGAGAAATCGGGACCTTGGCAGAAAGTTCAGGACCCTGGGGAGAGGGTGCTGCGCAGGAGAGGGTGCGGAGCTGAGGCCGTGGGCAAGGCAGAAAGACTAAAGCCCAAAACCAAGACCACTGCCTGAGTCCTACCTGCCCTAAGCCTTGCTCTGCGTTCAGAGCAGCGTGTCAGTGCCAGCACCTAAGAGATCCTCGGAAAATCTGTGCGTTCTGTCTCCTCCCGTCCCTGCCCCACTAT